CTGCTGCCCCCCCCCCCACTCACTGGCATCAAAGACGGCCTTCAGGGCCTGGATGTCCGTGGCCACCCCGGATATCCGGTAGATGCCGACCTCCTCGATGCCCCTCTTCTCCACCTCCTCCACACACTGCCGGACGACGTAGGGCACCTTAGAGCGCTCCCGCCTGGGGGAGGAGATGGCATGAGGGTGGGGGGAGGCCTCCCAGTGACAGCTACATAGCCCCCTCCCCGAAGAATACCCGGGCCTTGGAGAGCTCCAGCCTCTGCCGTCAGGAGGTGGAGGGCAAGAAGAGGGCTGAGGAACAGGCCATGCCACCCTGGCCCACACTGCCCACCTGTACCTGCCTGCTGAGGGACAGCAAGGGACAAAGGTGGGAAGTTTTGGGAGATAAGCCCAAAGACTCTGAGGAAAGAATGTTCCTTAGAACAGAGGTCTCAGATTCAAATATGGAAGACCCAGCGGGTAACTTATACAAGGGGGGAGGGTCAGGTCCTGGGGACACGGGGATGGTGGCGAGCTGAGGATGCATTTCCTTTCCCGAGGGGCACCGCTCCTGGGAGTCCAGCCAGCCTCTGCCAAGTTGAAATGTGGTCCTGCAGTTGTCAAATCTTCCCATTTATTATGAGAGGCTGACCTGGCATTTTCACATGCAGTCTCCCAATGTTTCAATGCTGGCTCATTTATTTCTAAAGTGGCATGTGAGCCCAGCCGGCATGGCTCAGTGGTTGAGCATTGACCTATGAACCAGGAGGTCAGGGTTTGATTCCCGGTCAGGGCACATGCCCAGGTTGCGGGCCCAATCTTCAGTGGGGGCGTGCAGGAGGCAGCCGATCAATGACTCTCTCATTATTGATCTTTCTATCTCCCTTCCTCTCTATGAAATCAATAAAAACATTAAAAAAAAATAAGTAAATAAAATGCGTGAGACAGAATACACCTCTGCAGGCCACTTTTGGCCTCCAAGCTTGCCATTGTGACTACTGAACTGAAGGGTGGCTGATTAGGGGCAGGGGCAGGCAGGGAGGGCTAGAAGGCAGGGGCTGGAGGGACCCTGGGCACTAAGGCCAGCACTCGGACACCGGAGGCAGCACCTACTTGGTCACCACGCTGATCTTCACACCAAAGACACCGGTCTGCTTTTTGGACGGTGTCCTCTTCAGGCTCATATCTCGGCTGGTGAATTTCATGGAGAATTCCACTTTGATCTGGTTGAGGGTGAGGCAGGGCATGAGTGCCTGAGGAGCGCCCCCAAAACCTAGGGTCCCCCTCGCCAGGACTATAAACAAGGCCAACCTCTAGCACCCAGGGCTCCATAAAATACCGGCAGGGTGGGAGTGGGTAGGGTGTAGGTGGAGGAGAAGGGAGAGGGGCTGGGCTAAGGGGACAGGGGCAGGATAGCACCCCGAGGACACTGGCCAGAGGTCGGGCTGCCCACCCACTGTGCAGACATTTCCTTCTCTCCAGCTCACCCCATTCATCTCGATCACATCTGTGTGCCAGTTCTTGGTTTCTACAGTTTGTGGATCCAACTGTGAAGAAAGAAAGAACGGGAGTGAGATGACAGCCCAGAGACCAAGCCAGAGCTCTCTGTTGTTCAGCCACTGCTCATAAGCTGGCTACATGGTCAGGAAGGCAGGAGGAGGACTTGGTGCTCATCCGGAAACCAGTCCTTGAGTAGCTTCAGCCCCCAGCCCCTCCTGCCCCGGTTAGTGAAGGAAGCAGTGAGGAGGTAGGGCACACTGTTAGGTAATTTTGCCCTCACAGCTCCTTCACATCCCATCCTGAAATGGGATGATCACCCATTTCACAGATGCAAAAACTGAGGCTCACAGACAGTAAGCAACTTGCTTGACCACCTGGAGTCGACAGGAGGGGATGTAGCCCGTGCACTGGAGGTGCTGAACGGGAGGCACTGCAATGCAGAGCTGGAGCCCAGTCTCGGGAGTCAGGCTGCCTGGTCTGAATCCTGGCTCTGGGCCTGCAGCTTGGGATGTTTTTACCTTGCTACGCCAGCCTCATTTGTTTCATCTGTGCATTGCAGTCTAACAGAACCTCCCTCGCTGGACTGTTGTGGAGGCTCAGTGAGATACCTGGCGTAAGCAGCTGGCCCCCAAGGAAGCAAACACTTGGCAGGGGAGGCCCCCGCATCGGGCAGGGGCCCCAGGGCGGTGGGCTCACAGGAAAGGCTCAGAGGCCTCCCTCACAGGGGACTGGACACGACTCTGCTTCTCTAACCCAGCGGCCTTCAAATTGTTTCTCCTTGTGCGCCCACAAATCTGAAAAACCATGCACTCTCTGGCACATTTTAAATCAACATCTGAATATTTCCAAAGGAAGTTTAAATACTTGCAAGGAATAGAATTTCCAAAATAATGTAAACATTTACATTTTAAAATAAAACTGTTACCTCATTCTCTTAAATGTGTTCAGTGAGGTCCAAATACCATGTGATTTGATACCGCTGTCACCCACTTAAAAAAGACATGACAAGCTCTTCTTCCCTCTGCAGAAACCCCATGTTGCCTCTTGTTCCTTGAACTTGTTTCTATTCTATTTTTCCAAAGGGGTTTGTCCTAGTTTGTATTTTTTGATGTTAAAGTCTTTTATTCGTCACCCTATTTTATTTCACTTCAACAAAAACATCTGTATAAATGGAAATGAAAAATTTCCTGAGGCCATAAGGCTCTAAATATTCGAAACATATTCTGGATTAGTTATTACAATAGTTAGCAGTACACAATAACAAATTAACCAAACACATTAGAAGTTTTAATAAATATTCAGCAGCAAAGTACCATTTTGGTGGGACTGCATCTCTTAACCAGATGGGTAGAGCATTTTCTGGTTTAGTTCATGCATGTGTACGAATAGTGTTTTTGGCTAGGGTGAGAGAGGGGTTCAGCATCAATTCTGTTGTTTTTTTTTTGGTTTTGTTTTTGAAGATGTAAAGCACAAAACACCCTGTTCACACAAGTAAGTAAATGAGGCTGAAAATAGTTTTATCATAGCAACGTCAGGCAATTTTTAACCTCTTTCCTCATTATCTGCCTTAAATTGCACATATACCCATTGTCAAAATTTATGTTCAATAATCTCTCTGCCAATTTCCATCGGTTTTGTAGAAAACAGAACAGGGAACCACCTGGCTAGTGAAAGGATCTGTAACCCAGCCATTAGTCTTTCATTTTCCAGCACCCGCACCAGCATTTCAAGCGGCCCCTCTATTATGCACCCAGGAGGTGTCCCACCCCAGGGCCAGCCCC